TCTCCATCCATCCAGTCCATCCTCCTCCTCCTTCCTCATCCTCTCCTCCTGAGTTCTCCTCTGTCCATCCATCCATCCACCCTCCTCCATCTCCATCCCAGCCCTCTCCCACTCATCTCATCCGCCTCCTCATCCTTCCTCCTTCCCGCCCCTCCAGGCCCATCTGCCTCACTCTTCTCTGTCTATCCATCCTCCTCCATCTGACCTCCTCCACCTTCCTTCATCTCCTCTTGTCCTCTGACCTTCCTCCTGAGTCTCACTCTCTTCTCTCTTCCTCTTCCCTCCTTCCATCCACCCCTTCCTGTCCTTCAGCTGACCCGGGCACCATGTTCTCCTGCTCCTTCACCTCGGCGCCTCTGGCTCCTCTTTCATTCAGCAGGCTCACGCCTCTTCCCACTCTCAGCCTTCCTTCTTCTGTTCTCTTCCCAGTCATTTCAAATTATTTATCTGGCACCATGGGAACTGGCACCAGAGTCATCATGGCAATGCCGTCATGGGCGTCATGGCATCATCGAAATCACAGCCGCTTGTGTCAGAACTCTCACGTCCTGTCACATATATATATATATATATATATATATATATATATATATATCTTCCAAACCTTCCTCCGCTGACCTGACCAACTCACCAACTCAGCCTCCACACGCCGTTGCCCCATTACTGAGGGCGAGCTTACGGATATTGAGTGTTTGTACAGTCTGGCGTTTACCTCGTATGATGATCTAGTACGTCTGTTATTTTCGCATGTCTGAGTAGCGCAGGTTATGTTTATCTCGTCCGTCTGGCGTTTATTTCGTACGTACGAGGTAAACGTCAGACGTACGAAATAAACGCCAGACGGACGAGATAAACGCCAGACGTACGAGATAAACGCCAGACGTACGAGGTAAACGCCAGACGTACTAGATAAACGTCATCCATACGAGGTAAACGCCAGACGTACAAGGTAAACGCCAGACGTACAAGGTAAACGCCAGACGTACAAGGTTAACGCCCTCAGTAATGTGTGACAGCAGCGTGTAAGAGGCTGGGAGTGTGGGGTGGCGTCCGTCCATGGAGGGAGGGACAAAAAATATATGAGTGTGTATCCTTTGGAGGTGGAGCTTTCATCTGATACTCCTAAAGAGGTTTTACTTGTCCGTAAGAGGATCAGAATTCCTCAGCACACCGTCAAGGTCTCTTGTTTGATAAAGAGGAAATGTGCTTCATTTCCTTTCTTGAAGCAGACGACGTGTATGCTTCAAGAGGAGGAGGTCACTCTATGGTGTTTATTGAAATCCTCTTAAAATCTGCCATTAAAATCCTCATAAATCAGTCATTAAAATCCTCATAAATCTGACATTAAAATCCTCATAAATCTTAAATTAAAATCCTCATAAATCTGAAATTAAATTCCCTAAATCTGTCATTAAAATCATCTTAAAACTGACACTAAAATCCTCCTAAAAACTGACATTAAAATCCTCCTAAATCTGTCATTACAATCCCCTTAAATCTGCCATTAAAATCCTTATAAATCTGTCATTAAAATCCTCTTGAATCTGTCCCACTCAGAGGTCAGCCAAGTTACAGTATGATAGATTCTGAAATAATTTAGAACTCTCGTTGCGTTGGAAATAATTTGTTGGTAAAAAAAACATCAATTTGCTCCTGTCCCCCCTCTCTCTCTCTCTCTCTCTCTCTCTCTCCACTTCAGGCGACGTTACACATGACGGTAAAGAGAAAAATGCCTCACTGACAGTTGCAATATTCGTGTAAACAAATAGAAGAGTTCTGGAGAGAGTATCGAACCCCCGTCCTTGTGTGAAATATCGAAAACTTAGTGCTCAGGTAAATACAGTATGTGGTTGGCTGCCAGCGTGAAGGAGGTGGTGGTGGTGGTGGTGGTGGTGGCTGGGCGGGGTCGGCGGCGGTGGTTGGTAAGAGAGGGAGATAGTGGTGTTGGTGATCCAGGGTGTGAGGGGATAACATGGGGAATCCAGTTAGCAAGATGGAGAGAGAGACGGAGAGTAGGTGGTAACCCCTGTATGAGTGAGGCGTTGAGTGAGTGAGGCGTTGAGTGAGTGTGTGAGTGTGTGTGTGAGTGTGTGTGTGTGTGTGTGTGTTCCTTGTTCTCCCTCACGTAATTCACACTGGTAAATAGATAATACGTCATCTCCTTGTTTTGTTTCACGTTGATTGAGCCGTCATGGTTGATAAACAAAACTCCCTTCCTAAACTATTAATTCATGAAGAAATTAGAGTTTCCCGCACAAAGTAAACAAACGCGATGATTGAGAAACTATCAGTGACGTCACGAATAGAAAGTTTATGTTAAGAGATTATTGGTCAATGATACAAGCAGGACGATCACCGCTGATATTAATGACGTCAGAGAGATGAGGATTGGTTCACGACGAAACAAACGACACGGTGATTGGTTTCGATGATGTTAAGAGACACCAGATAACGAGATACTCAGAGGCAGACGGACAGTAGCTCACAGGAGACATAATGATGACTGGTGCCATGATGACTCTGGTGCCATGATGAATCTGGTGCCATGATGACTCTGTGCCATGATGACTCTGGTGCCAATGATGACTCTGGTGCCATGATGAATCTGGTGCCATGATACTCGTGCCATGAAGACTCTGGTGCCATGATGACTCTGGTGCCATGATGACTGGTGCCATGATGACTTGGTGCAATGATGACTTGGTGCCATGATGATCTGGTGCTGATGAAACTGGTGCCATGATGACTCTGGTGCCATGATGACTCTGGTTCCATGATGACTTGGTGCCATGATGACTTGGTGCCATGAAGACTCTGTTGCCATGATGACTTGGTGCCATGATGACTCTGGTGCCATGATGACTCTGGTGCCATGATGACTCTGTTATGATGACTCTGGTGCCATGATGACTCTGGTGCCATGAAGACTCTGGTTCCATGATGACTCTGGTGCCATGATGACTCTGGTTCCATGAAGACTCTGGTGCCATGATGACTGGTGCCATGATGACTCTGGTGCCATGAAGACTTGGTGCCATGAAGACTTGGTGCCATGATGACTTGGTGCCATGATGACTTGGTGCCATGATGACTCTGGTGCCATGAAGACTCTGTGCCAGATGACTGGTGCCATGATGACTCTGGTTCCATGAAGACTCTGGTGCCATGATGACTCTGGTGCCATGATGACTCTGGTGCCATGATGACTTGGTGCCATGAAGACTCTGGTTCCATGATGACTTGGTCATGATGACTCTGGTTCCATGAAGACTCTGGTGCCATGATGACTGGTGCCATGATGACTCTGGTGCCATGATGACTTGGTGCCATGAAGACTCTGGTGCCATGATGACTCTGGTGCCATGATGACTCTGGTGCCATGATGACTCTGGTGCCATGATGACTCTGGTGCCATGATGACTCTGGTTCCATGATGACTTGCTATGATGACTCTGGTGCCATGATGACTGGTGCCATGATAATCTGGTGCCATGATGACTCTTGCCATGATGACTCTGGTGCCATGATGACTCTGGTGCCATGATGACTCTGGTGCCATGATGACTGGTGCCATGGAGGACTGTGAATGGCTTTACGATCGTTGATTTAAGAAGGTCATGGAGACAAGTGACTTAAGATAGTTGTGAGGAAACTGAGTAACGAGGGGTATTACTTCCACCCCACAACGTTATTATGGACCAGAGAGAGAGAGAGAGAGAGAGAGAGAGAGAGAGAGAGAGAGAGAGAGAGAGAGAGAGAGAGAGAGAGACATTATTTGGGAAGAGGAAACAAGAGAGAGAGAGAGGGAAGAGAGAGAAGAGAGAGAGAGAGAGAGAGAGAGAGAGAGAGAGAGAGAGAGAGATACATTATTTGGGAAGAGGAAACAAGAGAGAGAGAGAGTGATGATAGGGAAGAGAGAGAGAAAGCGATTGAGTGAGAGAGGGTTTGGGAGGAAGAAATGAGAGATAGTAGATACATAGGTAGAGAAAAAGAGAGACAGAGAAAAAGAGGGCAAGGTGGAGGGAAGGAGAGGAAGAGAAAGGAAAGGAAGCTGATAACAGGAAAGAGTATAGTAGACTTTGTACGAGTCGATTTCCCCACACATGAGTCAACACTACCAAAGAGAGAGAGAGGAGAGAGAGAGAGAGAGAGTCACCCATAAAGATAGATAGACAGAGAGAGAGAGATCACGCCATAAAGATAGATAGATAGAGAGAAAGAGAGTCACCCCATAAAGAGAGAGAGAGAGAGAGAGAGAGAGAGAGAGAGAGAGAGAGAGTCACCCCATAAAGATAGATAGAGAGAGAGAGAGAGAGAGAGTCACGCCATAAAGATAGATAGAGAGAGAGAGAGAGAGTCACGCCATAAAGATAGATAGATAGAGAGAAAGAGAGTCACCGCATAAAGAGAGAGAGAGAGAGAGAGAGAGAGAGAGAGAGAGAGAGAGAGAGAGAGAGAAGTCCCATAAAGATAGATAGAGAGAGAGAGAGAGAGAGAGTCACGCTACAAAGATAGATAGAGAGAGAGAGAGAGCACCCCATAAAGATAGATAGAGAGAGAGAGAGAGAGAGAGAGAGAGAGAGAGAGAGAGAGAGAGTGAGTCACCCCATAAAGATAGATAGAGAGAGAGAGAGAGAGAGAGATCACGCCATAAAGATAGATAGATAGAGAGAGAGAGAGTCACCCCATAAAGATAGATAGATAGAGAGAGAGAGAGTCACGCCATAAAGATAGATAGATAGAGAGAGAGAGAGAGAGTCACCCACAAAGATAGATAGAGAGAGAGAGAGAGAGAGAGAGAGAGAGTCACCCCATAAAGATAGAGAGATAGAGAGAGAGAGAGTCACTATAAAGATAGATAGATAGAGAGAGAGAGAGAGAGTCACGCCATAAAAGATGATAGATAGATAGAGAGAGAGAGAGAGAGAGAGAGAGAGAGAGAGAGAGAGAGAGAGAGAGAGAGAGTCACCCCAAAAGATAGATAGATAGAGAGAGAGAGAGTCACGCCATAAAGATAGATAGATAGAGAGAGAGAGAGTCACGCTACAAAGATAGATAGATAGAGAGAGAGAGAGAGAGCCAGTAAAGATAGCTAGATAGAGAGAGAGAGAGAGAGAGAGAGAGAGAGTCACCCTAAAGATAGATAGATAGAGAGAGAGAGAGAGAGTCACGCCATAAAGATAGATAGATAGAGAGAAGAGAGAGTCACGCATAAAGATAGATAGATAGATAGATAGAGAGAGAGAGAGTCACGCCATAAAGATAGATAGATAGAGAGAGAGAGAGAGAGAGAGAGAGAGAGTCACATAAAGATAGATAGATGAGAGAGAGAGAGAGAGGAGTGAGTCACGCTACAAAATAGATAGATAGAGAGAGAGAGAGAGAGAGAGTCACGCCATAAAGATAGATAGAGAGAGAGAGAGAGTCACGCCATAAAGATAGATAGATAGAGAGAGAGAGAGAGAGAGAGAGAGTCACGCCATAAAGATAGATAGATAGAGAGAGAGAGAGAGAGAGAGAGAGAGAGAGAGTCACATAAAGATAGATAGATAGAGAGAGAGAGAGAGAGAGAGGCCATACAAAGATAGATAGATAGAGAGAGAGAGAGAGAGAGAGAGTCACGCCATAAAGATAGATAGATAGAGAGAGAGAGAGAGAGAGAGAGAGAGAGAGTCACAAAGATAGATAGATAGAGAGAGAGAGAGAGAGAGAGAGTCACGCCATAAAGATAGATAGATAGAGAGAGAGAGAGAGAGAGTCACGCCATAAAGATAGATAGATAGAGAGAGAGAGAGAGAGAGAGAGGTGTCACGCCATAAAGATAGATAGATAGAGAGAGAGAGAGAGAGAGTCACGCCATAAAGATAGATAGATAGAGAGAGAGAGAGAGAGAGTCACGCCATAAAGATAGATAGATAGAGAGAGAGAGAGAGAGAGAGAGTCACGCCATAAAGATAGATAGATAGAGAGAGAGAGGTCACCATAAAGAAGATAGATAGAGAGAGAGAGAGAGAGAGAGAACAGCCATAAAGATAGATTATAGAGAGAGAGAGAGAGAGAGAGTCACGCCATAAAGATAGATAGATAGAGAGAGAGAGAGAGAGAGAGTCACGCCATAAAGATAGATAGATAGAGAGAGAGAGTGTCACGCCATAAAGATAGATAGATAGATAGAGAGAGAGAGAGAGAGTCACTAAAAGATAGATAGAAGAGAGAGAGGTCACCATAAAGATAGATAGATAGAGAGAGAGAGAGAGAGAGAGTCACATAAAGATAGATAGATAGAGAGAGAGAGAGAGAGAGTCACGCCATAAAGATAGATAGATAGAGAGAGAGAGAGAGAGAGAGTCACGCCACAAAGATAGATAGATAGAGAGAGAGAGAGAGAGAGAGTCAATAAAGATAGATAGATAGAGAGAGAGAGAGAGACAGCCATAAAGATAGATAGATAGAGAGAGAGAGAGAGAGAGAGAGAGAGAGCCCAAAGATAGATGATAGAGAGAGAGAGAGAGAGTCACGCCATAAAGATAGATAGATAGAGAGAGAGAGAGAGAGAGAGAGAGGTCACGCCATAAAGATAGATAGATATAGAGAGAGAGAGAGAGAGTCACGCCATAAAGATAGATAGATAGAGAGAGAGAGAGAGAGGAGAATACCCAAAAGATAGATAGATAGAGAGAGAGAGAGTCACGCCATAAAGATAGATAGATAAGAGAGAGAGAGAGAGAGAGAGAGAGTCACGCCATAAAGATAGATAGATAGAGAGAAAAAAAAGAGAGAGAGAGTCACGCCATAAAGATAGATAGATAGAGAGAGAGAGAGAGAGAGTCACGCCATAAAGATAGATAGATAGAGAGAGAGAGAGAGAGAGAGAGTCACCCATAAAGATAGATAGATAGAGAGAGAGAGAGAGAGAGAGTCACGCCATAAAGATAGATAGAGAGAGAGAGAGAGTCACACAAAAGATAGATAGATAGAGAGAGAGAGAGTCACGCCATAAAGATAGATAGATAGAGAGAGAGAGAGCCATAAAAGATAGATAGATAGAGAGAGAGAGAGAGAGAGAGTCACGCCATAAAGATAGATAGATAGAGAGAGAGAGAGTCACACAAAGATATAGATAGAGAGGAGAGAGAGTCACGCCATAAAGATAGATAGATAGAGAGAGAGAGTCACGCCATAAAAGATAGATAGATAGAGAGAGAGAGAGAGAGAGAGTCACGCCATAAAGATAGAGATAGATAGAGAGAGAGAGAGTCACGCCATAAAGATAGATAGATAGAGAGAGAGAGAGAGAGAGAGAGAGTCAACAAAGATAGATAGAGAGAGAGAGAGAGAGAGAGAGAGTGCCACAAAGATAGATAGATAGAGAGAGAGAGAGAGAGAGAGTCACACAAAAGATAGATAAGAGAGAGAGAGAGAGAGAGTCACGCCATAAAGATAGATAGAGAGAGAGAGAGAGAGAGAGAGTCACGCACAAAAGATAGATAGAGAGAGAGAGAGAGAGTCACGCCATAAAGATAGATAGATAGAGAGAGAGAGAGAGAGAGTCATATAAAGATAGATAGAGAGAGAGAGAGAGAGAGAGAGAGAGTCACGCCATAAAGATAGATAGAGAGAGAGAGAGAGCACCATAAAGATAGATAGATAGATAGAGAGAGAGAGTCACCATAAAAGATAGATAGATAGAGAGAGAGAGAGAGAGAGAGAGAGAGAGAGTCACGCCATAAAAGATAGATAGAGAGAGAGAGAGAGTCACACAAAGATAGATAGATAGATAGAGAGAGAGTGTCACGCCATAAAGATAGATAGATAAGAGAGAGAGAGAGAGAGAGTCACGCCATAAAGATAGATAGAGAGAGAGAGAGAGAGAGAGTCACGCCATAAAGATAGAGATAGAGAGAGAGAGTCAGCCATAAAGATAGATAGATAGATAGAGAGAGAGGTCACCATAAAGATAGATAGATAGAGAGAGAGAGAGAGAGAGTCACGCCATAAAAGATAGATAGATAGATAGAGAGAGAGAGAGAGTCACATAAAGATAGATAGATAGAGAGAGAGAGAGAGAGAGAGTCACGCCACAAAGATAGATAGATAGAGAGAGAGAGAGAGAGAGAGTCACGCTACAAAGATAGATAGATATATAGAGAGAGAGAGAGTCACGCTACAAAGATAGATAGATAGAGAGAGAGAGAGAGAGAGAGAGAGTACCGCCATAAAGATAGATAGATAGAGAGAGAGAGAGTGACGCCATAAAGATAGAGAGAGAGTCACCCATAAAGATAGAGTAGAGAGAGAGAGTCACATATAAATATAGATAGAGAGAGAGAGAACCTAAAGATATAGATAGAGAGAGAGAGAGTCACGCCATAAATATAGATAGAGAGTCACCCCATAAAGATAGATAGATAGAGAGAGAGAGTCACGCCATAAATATAGATGAGAGAGAGAGAGAGAGAGAGTCCTTATAAGATAGATAGAGAGTGTCACGCCATAAAGATAGATAGAGAGAGAGTCACGCCATAAGATAGATAGAAGTCAC